ATTCAAGTAGAAGGACTTAATTCAAGGATTTGGTCGTATATATATTAATCTTGAACGTACATTTTCAAAAATAAATACTCCAAATTTACAATGATACTCAAGGAGGAAATTTTCTAAGGAAATTTTCAAAACCTATACAGAATCTTATCTCTAATGCCCATATTTTACGCTGTTTAGTAACTTCTCTTGAACAAAACCTCATTTCATTTTTTTTAATGGACGGATACCGTTAAATTGTAATTGGTGTTATCATCAGGGCCGAAGAAAATTAGCAAGAAAAAATCGATTTTAAGCGCCTTAAAATACTAGTAAATATGCTTGCAAACATGCTCGCAAAACCACAAAATTTAAGTACGTTTTAAACTTTTTAAATGATCGTTCGTTATTCTCCATTTGAAATAAATTATTTTTAATATTTATTTCCAATAACACCAATGCCTTCCCTTAGAGACAAACCATTGGTTTTAAATTTTTGTATCCAAGCAGAAATGCAGCTGAAGTTACGATTAGTTACGATAAAAATCAAATCTGTTTTTATATTAATGTTTGCAAACATTTCTTTAGTTCGACGAATAAAAAAAACGCCCTTTAAATAAATGGCACAGAATTTATTGGGCCAAATTTTCTTAAGCAGTTCGAGGTGGTTTACTAATGTTTGTTTTTTTGAAGAGTACAAAGCACCCTTGTTTTCAACAGAAATACATATCGTCGTTTAAAGTACAAAACCGCGTATTGTCATTCTGCAAAACCGCATAACTGACATTGGCTGCCAAAAATTGGATTTGCTCACACAAGCTCTTGGCTCAATCCTTATCCAATCATCCTGAAATACACTAGCCAGAAATGCGATTGCTTTATAAAAAAAAGAGTACCATTTTAAAATATGAGTGTTTTTACGCTCTAGGAACTAATTTCTACACTTCACATACGCGGTTTTGCATTTTGCTGATACGCGGTTTTGCATTTTGTTGATACGCAGTTTTGCACTTTAAACGACGATATATGCCTGTTCCAATATTTCGTAAGAAAAAACTGAGACAGCAGGCTATAAAATAAAATATAATATATCAAAACTCCTTGGGCACTACTATTCACACACACACGAAATAATCGCAATTTATTTCTGGACCGTTTTTATAAAAGGTCCGTACTTAGCTTTATACATTAAAATAAGCATAATCGTTAAAATAAAGCTTGGAAACCCTGAATAAGCAAAATAAGCAATTCCAAGCAAAAGCTTAAACTTTTCGGCCCTGGTTATCATTAACTCGATTTCTTTGACTTATGCCACTCTTAAAACAAACGGTTCATATGTATGTACATACAACTAGATACTCGTTAATTTTTTTTTATGTTTTATTTTCCGTTAATTAGGCAGCTAGCTACGTGTATGAGATCATAAAGAAATAAATTATAGGTGTTTTCTAAAGTGTTTAATTTTTTCAAACCATTTTTTTTTTTATTACATAGATTTTGTTTGGCGTCGACGTAACAAGAGTTGTTTCGTTATCCGATAAGTAAACACTTTAAAACTACTGTAATTAGTAAGTTAATAGCAGAAGAATACCCGGAGACGTTCGGCCTGTGGCGTAGCTAGGAAAGGGTGTACTTTAACTCCTAGTTGATATGAAGCAAGATTTGATCACTTTATACTCATCCGATGTTCGGGTGGAATCTTAAATAGCCATTTTGAATTTCATGAACATGTAACTTCTATATTTCTTCTTTAAGGCCCGTATGCAGTTCTCAAGAAAAATCACAAATAATATTTTTCATTATCTCTGTCGCTAGGAAAATTACTTTGCGGTTGGTAAATTTGATTTAAGAAATTTCGATAGAAAATATATATTTTTTCCATATCTTGTGCGTGATCTTATATGAATTTTTTATTTTTCTTGAGAGCTGCCGACAAGTCTTTAAAGAGCAATCAATTTTGTGTATTTGTGTATTAAACTGTATTTACTAAATTTTGACTACAGTCGCGGAATGGTTTAAATTAAAGAACTTATGTTGGCATTTTTTTCGGGTAATCGTCGAGGAAAATCGTTTTTACATTTATAAGATAAAATTTATAATATCAATATAATAAAAAAAATAAAATTTTTTTTTATGGAATAAATCCGTTGGATTTTGCATGTTTTTTTTTCGAATAACACTATTTTTGACCAATTTTTTATGGTCAAGGAGCAATTTTGGCTCAATGGCAATATTTTTCCGTGAAAGGCAACTACATTGGCTTTCAAAACCATTTTGTTTAATGTCAAAATGTTGCTTCTGTCGAAAGCATTAATTCATTTATAAACAATATATAATATAATAAAATAAAATGTCTACCATACTTGAGCGTACAAAATTTTTGATTCTTATTTCCATCGCCCCTCCAAAATCGAGCTCACGATCCGCCACTGATGCGAGCTCATCGCTAAGAAGGCTAAATATATTTATCATTAATGTACTAATTTGTATCTCTGCGACCATTTAAGACGAATCTCTGTGATTGAGTGAGGCTAAATGCATGCTTTTCGATGCACGTATGTATATGTACCCTGCAGGAAATACAACTAATTATAAGTTAACTTGAAGTTGATTAGATAGGAACTAAAGGTCACTATTGTCTGTATATTTTCTTTGACGAAAGATAGCTATATTTCTGTGGCGATGTCGACGGAATAGTCAAGGATGGTTACCTCTGCATTAGATATCAACCAACTTGTATCTAACTACTTTTCGACATAAAAAATATCAATAAGAAAAATAATACATATTTTTTTTTTTTAATTTTTGTACTTGTTTATTTATTTACTTTATATAACATTACATATTTGTTTATAGGTTCTGCTGTATGTGGGCCCATATTCGAATTCCGTCAGAAATAACTTCAAAATTGTAGGCAATATAAAATTTCGATCTTCATTTTATTTGTCATGAATTCGAAAAAGTATTTGTGAAGTGCAGAAAAAAGCGTATTCAAAGAAAAATTTGTATAAGGATATTTAAACAGAAACTTGTTTAAAGAAAAAAACTTGCCAATTACATTTGCATTACTCCTGCATTACTTTTCAACTAGTTTCAAGTTTGCATTTTGTAGTTAACTAAAAGTTGTATATTTTATCGAAAATCCCATGAAAAATCTAACTACAAGTGGGTTATTTTTTCTGCAGGGCATGCACTTACATACATACATATTTAAATAAATGTGTATTTGCTATGCAATAGCCTTTTCTTAGTGTGATTGTATAACAGATCTTGAACTTGATTCAATATAAATACTTCACGTCCATTCCACGCTATTGCTGCTCAAGTTGAAGATCATTTTTTTTTTTTAATTCTAATGAATGGTGTAGCAAGACTTATGTATATATTTTAATTAAATTTTAGTTGTTATTACGCTTTATTGTATGAAGAGTATCGTTTTCCTCATGAGTCAAGCTGGACCTAATCAGAGTGGTTTCAGACGTGGTAAGTACACAATTGAACAGATTTTCATTGCACGTCAAATCCTAGACAGGACACTGGATATGCAAATGAATACTGATTATCTTTTCGTTGATTTTCAAGCCACGCATTTGGGGATACACGTCACCGTTGGCAGCTATAACTTTGTAGTGGTCAAGGACTTTGTCTAACTAGGATCCAGCAAAAACACCTCCAACAACGTCAGCCAGGAAATCAAGCGAAGATTAACTCTTGCCAACAGGTGCTACTTTGGCCTCTTGACGAACAAAAATCACGTTCTACAAGTCTCTCGTCATGCGCGTTCTTCTAAATGGCGCAGAAACGTGGTTGATGTCGAACAAAGATGACAAAGCTTTGGGTGTTTACGAGAGCACTATTCTACGCAAAATCGACTGCCCTGTTCAAAAGCACAATGGGTATCGAAGAAGATGAAATGTATGAGCTTTTTAACGAATTGGATATAGCTCGGTGATGGGCACCGTCTTGCCCGCGGGCAAAGCTCTTTTTAAGCTTTCTATACATTTTATGTAGGCGCGTGTAGAGTAAAAGTTCTCTCTGCCCATCGCTGATATAGTTACAGAGCCTTTCTGGATAAGATAGTAAAAAGTCTTGCGTATAATAAATGAAAGGCAGATGGCAAGATAGTTTGAAAGACTTTTGCTATTCTAGCACAAAATTCCTAGAAAAAAACTCTCTCATGAAAAGCTGTTTTGATAGAAAGCACTTGTACATCATTTAGTTTGCGTGGCTCCAACAGCCGCAATAGCCGAGTGGGCAAAGCACGGGCGTGCCATTCGAAGGATCTGAATTCGAGATTCGGGCAGCGGAACTTTTTTTTAATTTAATTATTTTTTTCTTTATTAATTAAATTTTCCTTTAATTTTTGGGTTTTATTGTTTTAAATAGAGTAATATATTTTTTTATTTAGAGTTATTTTATGTATTTTTTCGTTTTTACAGCAATTTTTTTCTCAATTTAATTACCTTTTAATGTTTAGATATTACTATTTTAAAAATCAAAATATTTGTTTAATTACATTTAATTTTTCTTTTCTTTTTTCTTTTTAAAACATAATTTTTTCGATTTAAGTTTAATTTTATTTTATTTTTTAGATTTTATTTTTGAAAAAAAAAATTTGTCGTATATATTGTTTTAAGAGCAAAAAATATATTTTAGTTTCATTTAATTAAAAAAAATATATATTTTATTTATTTTTGTTTTATTGTTTTGTTTTTAATTGAATTTGATAAAAAAAAAACTGCCTATGGCTAAAAAGCGAACAGCATATCGCTAAGACCTCATCGTTAGCACGTCCTTCAATTAGTCTTTCGAAAGACAGTAAAGAGCTTTCAAGCCTTTTGTCTTTCAAAAGACTTTGTTGAGTTGAAAGATAGTTGCCAGAATTGCCCTGTTAATCGCATTAAAGTACAACGATTGTCCTGGCTTGGGCATGTTGTACGTATGGATGGCGGGGCTCCGGTGAAAAGATTCTTCTACTCGGCACCTATGGGTGGGCAATGAAAGCAAGGATGCTCACGAACAAAATGAAAGGACCAAGTGCAGAAGAACCTGTCTACACTCGGGATGAACAACTGGGTGTAAATTCGCAAAAAAGAGAGGCAATGGACAAAG